ACATCCGACTTTTCGGAGGGTAATGCCTTGATTTCAGCGATCAAAATCTTTCCCTAGCTTTGCATTCCCTTTCAAGCCGTTTCGCAGCTCAGTTACCACTTCCAGGCGCTCTTATCGCCAGTTTCATCCCGGGGCTTGCCTTTAAGTCCTGGCAGAGGCCGAGCGTCCTGCCTTCGCCTGAGATCACGCTGCAGTTGTTGTGATGTGATAAAATGATAGAAGACTGGTCATAATCTTGTGGCTCTAATATCTTTCACTGGATGAATGCTTAGCTTTTGCTATTTTCAGGTAACTCCGGCTCTGTTCTGCACATTTAAACAACTTCCTTCGTCTGCGATTATAAAGGTTTCCAAAGCATATAATACAACATTCATCAAGAACAACACCGAGGATTGCATGAAGATGTGCTACGAATATCCGCCCTGCGTCTACGTCATTTCCTTTGCGGTCAGTGTTACTAACCCTCCAAATTGCAAAAAATTCAAGCTTCGCTCCACTATAAATGAAGAAACTGTGGGGACTAGCCATAGGTCTCACTTCAAAAGTTGACAGTATTTGTGAAACGCTTCTGACAGGCTGGTCATAAATAACTCAAATGACTCTTGCTAGTGGCCTGTTTCGAAAATGTTAACCACCTACTTTTTAAAGCTTTGATGGATACATAGGCTATTTTAAAAATTTCCATCTTACATACTATAAAGCGCTTCGTCTGTCGTTCTGTCGTTCTGTATGTCTGTCACGAAATTCCCTAGCTCCTCGGGATCCGCCTGGAGGGACCGGGTCAAGTGTGGGATGGGTGGGCAAGGTCTCACGAAGTACAAAACACACATCAGCTAAGCGGAGCCCCCCACAGTGGGCGTGGCGTGCGTCGAAATGAACTGTACCGAGACCAAGATTTCGATTTCAGTGACAAAACAACCTCGAAACTGGGCCAAAAAGTGGGTAAAGGTGTGCATTGGTAAGTCACATCGAATTAGGGAGACCCACCCCCGGTGGGCGGGGCGTTCTCTAAAAAAGCAGTGCTTTATGAAAAATTTCATAACTCGGTTGGGAGAAAGCCTACAGAGCAGAAAACAATTGTGTAAGGGAGCAATGTCCTCACGGTCCCCCAGCATCGCACGACTGTCGGCAGAGGTACCGCCTCACATTGGGCACGAGCGCGCTCATGAACTGTACTTGTACGCGTTTCCTACAAGACCTCATGATTCGGGCCGGAGAAGCCTTAGTGAGCCGGAATAGGTGGGTAGAGTTGGGTGAAGGAGTGGAGGCCAACTGTCATCGGTGGGCGGGACATGACCAATCGAGATTCCGGCGAAAGACCCCCTCCCTCGCACCAACCCCCGTCATGCCCCGCTGGTTTGATAAATACACAGCGGCCACCGCACTCCTAGTTCGTGCACTTTTGAAAATTTCACGATCTCCATTTGTCTTATTAGTCACATCATATGAACTCCTTCCTCCCCTAACGCACCCACCCTACGCCATCACGCTGCTTCGTAATCATTCCGGCAAGTGACGTTTCTTCGCAATTCCGAAAACTCCTGCAAACACGCCTGCCCTCTGTTCCATAAACCTTACGACATCTGGTCGCGGCCGCCAATCGCCCCATAAGCCGCGCCGAATCAGTGGCGGTGAAGTCATCGTCGGCCGGAGCACCAGACACGCCAGACCGTATTAGCAGGGCCCCGACACCCTAATACCTAGGGGGATGCGTCGCGTAAGGAATGCTCTGACGACTGTTGCCTGCCGCGAGCCTGGTGAGGCCCTCTCCCCTATCTGACGACCTTACGACCGTGCTAAAAGATGTGTAGATATTGCTACATAACAGAACACTAAGTATTAAGGTGATTTATGCTAATATTACAATAGATTGCGAGACTACGTTATATAGAAGGAGAGAGAGATGGGAGAACCTACGGGCACGATCGGAAGGATAAGCGGCGGAGTGGTATGCGACCGATCCGTTGGCTGTCGAAGATGGTGTTGACGGCAGCTCCAACCATGGCTGAGGACTCCACGGACACAACCGCTCGGCGAGACGACTGGACGACGACAGACAGACGAGCGCGGGCCAAGGCAGAGATGCAGAGCACTTCCCGCACTTCTGGATGTTGCATGCGTTCGAACCATGGGAAAGTGTCTGCGTCCGTGGGAAGGCGTAGTATTTCGTCCTCCATAGGCGTGAGAACATGGCTGGAGCACGGGAAAGTATCGGCGCATACCTTGCACGTTGAAAAGGTCGTGACGAGAGTTACGACACCATCTAACTTCCACAAATATGACCACCCACCCTTTCAACTCTTTTCACGCCTACCAACAACAAGCCGCCTGCAACCCACCTTCGTCAGGAACGTTCAATTCTCCTATGCTTATGCTTGTGCTTACACATTGGCTTATACTTAAGCCTATGTCTGGGCCTTAGGCCTAGTCCTAAGCTTGCTTTGAGCAAATGAGTGGTATCCCAGTTTTAGATTCAGACCTGACCTGAGGAGCAGAATATCAGCGCACTCACCTCAGTTTATATTTCGGCCAACAGACGGCTGACCGTGGTGGTGGCTTGTTCCGAATGCCTTGCAATGCGACCTTGCCAGGCAATGAATGATTTCTTTGTCTTCCTTTGAAGCCGCGAGTCGGGATTAGGTCGCAAGAAGCGGTCCCTTCCACAGCGGGCAAGAGGGATCCTCAAGCGCCAGGGGCGCGAGAAGCGACTAGAAGAGCGAGGTAACGATCCTGAAGCCTTGCCTCGTGTGCTGCCGCCGCTGCCATCCTTATCAAACTCTGCATATGTGGTTTTGCGTCTCTCGCGTAGGACGTACTATCTCGCGTTTTCCCTCTCCTCGCAGCGCTGTGTCTCTCCGTCGTACTACGGCCGGCCTCCTAAGGGAAATTTAGTGTTTTCTATGGTGCTTTTTGCTTTTTCCTCACTAATGTTCCTCATTGCACTCCCTGTCGAATGGTCGAACGAGATAACACAACAACTCCAACCCGATTAGTGTCCTTGGAAACGTGCTGCTACAAGCTCTTCATTTCAGGATTCCATATGCACCGTGAATTCTCTCGGAAAGATCTACATACGTGTGGATTCCATCGAGTGGAAGGGTTATGGCGCAGTTGTCTACCAGTTGTATCGAAGTGTGTTCGATGCGGGATGCCCAACAATGAAAGAGTGGTCGATGCTCAAAGCGTAATCTGCTGCGGAAAAGACTCGTCTCAAGATGTTAGAATAGAAAAAAGTTGAAGATCCCATCCAAATACAAAACCACACTCGGTACGAAACCAACACCCTTCTTTACGCCTAATGAAAGCATCACGTGCAAGCCACGACAAACCCACCGTGACACATCTTAGTACTCTTTTTCTAATTCGTTCCCTTTGTGGACTCTAGTAGAAGCTGCTAGAATTTGAACTTCAAAATGAATACAATGGTCAGCTTTGGGACTGAACCTCAGATGGAGGGAGGAAAGGACTTCGGATGGGTTAGTAATTTGAATCTTTCCCTGGTTGCCCCTTATCCACCGCTCCAGGCTTATTTACTTCTTTCGCACGATAACTAACAAGTAGTGATGAACCAAAGAAAACTATGAGGAGATGGTGTACAACGATTTCCTCGACGTGTCATGGCGTGTTTGGCGTGAAGATGCGCCCTTTACTTCGTTTGGCGTAAAATAAGAGTGTCCCACCATAATAGTTTTGCACCCTACATCGACGAATTCTCGGTTCGAAAGAAATCCCCTTGTCCCTCTAGCCATTGCACGTTCAATCGTATCGTACTGAATATCATGGAATTGCGATTAACAGCGATTTCTTCCGCGTTAGTCTTGCGACGGTTCCACAACAGAAGTCTGTGTTTCTTGCGTGTTCCGTCTGTAGCGTTTAATAAAGCATTGAAGGCACTTTCTTCTTGCTTATAATTATGCTTATAATTATGCTGCTTATGCTTACAAAATTTGTGGATGACTCCGCCGCTGTTGCAGCTCACAGCGATATTTACACAAAACAACAAATTCCAGTACTCCTTAGGTAAGCTTTTTTTCAAATCCTAGAGCGTATTGCTATGGATCCCGACGAGTGAGTTCAACTGATCACCTGGTTTTGAGAAACTCGATTTTAAACCAGAGTTATAACAACAAGACAAAAAGCGAAATCGCGTTTTTGGCGTGAATTTTCAAAGGTTCACTTCGATTACCGTATGTCCTGCTCCCTTTCCATTGGCATAAAAAGGATAAAGCTTCTGCCATTGGTCAATCCCGTCTTGGGATGCGGCACGCATTCTACTTCCATTCTGTACAGTCGCAGTTGCGTTTGAATGCGATGTGGCCTATACAGGGTGGTCCAAAATTATGAGGACCAAGACATTGTGGCGTTAATAACGCATGGTAGCTTGATGGAAATAACAAACTCCAAGAAAGTGTTTGTGACTCTGATGCCAAAGTAATTCCAAAAT